GAGCCTGATGCGGGGCTCGATCCCAGGACCCTGGGATCATGACCTGAGCTGAATGCAGAGGTTTTAACCCACTGAGCCACCCAGGTGCCCCGGAAGAAACACTCTCATACCCTGTAGGCATGTGCCAGTGTCGAGAGTCTGAACCAAATCTCAGGCAGGGGCCCACCTGCCCGTGTGGTCGACCCTAACAGTCACACAGTAGGTTACCTGCTGCGTATTTGGCAATCCTCTTTGCTTTCTTTTTCTATTGATAAATCTTCCAGATCTTTGATATTAGTGCATGTCATCCTTGTATAAGTCTGAGTGCAAATGCGTGAAAAATTCTGTGGACATTGTTGAAAAATTCTTGGGCTGTAGACAGTGATCAGATCAGACTTACGGGAAATAGCGGTGGATTGAATCACTTGATCCTCCTGCATTCTTGCATCATCAAGTATTAAAGTAACAATTTAGAATTCATGATGGTCTTCAACAGTTGGCATTATTAAATTGATTAGTTTCTTTTCGTTCACAAATTTTTGTTCTGATCACTGAAATGGGATCTACTGGATTTTTTTCTTTTTAAGGAAACACCTGGAGATCTTTTTTAAAGATTTTATTTATTTATCTGACAGAGAGATCACAAGGAGGCAGAGAGGCAGGCAGAGAGAGAGAGAGAGGGAAGCAGGCTCCCCGCTGAGCAGAGAGCCCGATGCGGGGCTCCATCCCAGGACCCTGGGATCATGACCTGAGCCAAAGGCAGAGGCTTAATCCACTGAGCCACCCAGGTGTCCTGAGATTTTTTTTTTTTTTTTTAAAGATTTTACTCATTTATTTGAGAGAGAGTGTGAGTAAGAGAGCATGAGCAGAGGGAGAAGCAGACTCCCCACCAAGCCATTATGGGGCTCGATCCTGGGACCCTGAGATCATGACTTGAGCTGAAGGCAGCCCTTTAACCAACTGAGCCACCAGGCGCCCCTCTACTGTACATTTTATTTCCCTGTTACCTCATTACTGAGGTGATAGACATTTTTAATATGCAGTATTTTATCTTCTGTTCAATGTGTTTGACTTCTTTGCCTTTTGGATGTGCGTTGGTTCATCTTCACTCCGCCAGCTGACCTTTTATATTGCAGGCGTTGCTGATACTTTTCCTTGTTTGTTTCCTTAATTATCTTCATTTTAATATAGTAGAATTTGCCTGTTTCTAGTTTTTTCTGTTAAGATTTTATTTATTTATTTGACAGAGAGAGAGAGAGAGAGAGACAGCAAGAGAGGGAAAGGGAGAAGCAGGCTACCCGTTGAGCAAGGAGCCCAATGCAGGACTCAGACCCAGGACCCCAGGATCATGACCTGAGCTGAAGGCAGACGCTTAACGACTGAGCCACCCAGGCACCCCGGCTGTTTCTGATTACTCTTACTTACTTACTTACTTAACTTACTCTTTTTCTTCTGGGAAAATTCTCCCTATTCCTGCGTCAATAAAATCTCTCTGCGAATCTTGCACATTTAAATCTAGAATGAATTGGCTAATTTCCATGGAATATTGGGGAATACAGTGCATTTTTCCAAGTGATTAACAGTGTGAGCCTGCCTGTGTGTAAAGTGTTCGTGATATTTTCCCCTGTGCCTCAAGGACTGCTGTTCCTTGACTGACTTTTCATATTAAATACCAGCCTGTTGAAGGCACTTCCTACCCTTGTCTGTCTGCTTATCGCTCTGCTGGTTAGTACTGTATTGTCTGGAATAGTATAGCTTAAAAATTCTTGATGGGTGTTAGGTAGACCACCACCTTGTTCTTCAGAAGACTGTCCTTTTCTTGAAATTTGTTCTGTCTGTTGGGCTTGGAGGAGTACTTTTGTTGACTAGTAAAGAATCTGTTTGGGGGATTATGGAATTCTATAAAAATACTACTTGGGAGACTCTTGGGTGGCTCAGTCTGATAAGCATTTGCCTTCGGATCATGTCATGATCTCAAGGTCCTGGGATCGAGCCCCACATCAGGCTCCATTGCTCAGCAGGAAGCCTGTTTCTCCCTCTCTCTTGCTGTCTCTCTCTGTGTCAAATAAATAAATAAAATCTTTTAAAAAATACTGTTTGGGAGTGGTGACATCTGGATGACACTGAATTCTTGTTAAGAACAATTGGCATTAGTTCACTTCTACTTTGACATTAAGCAACAATTTTAACATTTTTCTTTTCTTTTTTATTTTTATTTTTTTTAAAGATTTTATTTATTTATTTGACAGACAGAGATCACAAGTAGACAGAGAGGCAGGCAGAGAGAGAGAGGGAAGCAGGCTCCCCGCTGAGCAGAGAGCCCGATGTGGGACTCGATCCCAAGACCCTGAGATCATGACCCGAGCCGAAGGCAGTGGCTTAACCCACTGAGCCACCCAGGCGCCCTTTCTTTTCTTTTTTAAAGATTTTTATTTATTTATTTGACAGAAATCACAAGTAGGCAGAGAGGCAGACGGGGGCGGGGGAGGCAGGCTGCCTGCTGAGCGGAGAGCCTGATGCGGGGCTTGATCCCAGGACCCTGGGATCATGACCTGAGCCAAAGGCAGAGGCTTCAACCCACTGAGCCACCCAGGCGCCCCTAACATTTTACTATGAGGATCATTAAACACACTTTAGTCTGCTTTGGTACTAAAATTGGCGTGGATAAATTAGGAACAAGCTTTCAAATGTCATCTCCGTGTAATCCCAAAGGATGGGCTCAGTTCTTCAACAGGGTGTGAGTACACATGTAAATTATTGTCTGTCTTTGTAGAGACTCAGTGTCTGGAGTGTTTGTTGGGAGCTATGTTTGCCAAACCTATAACAAATTACAGACACTCAAAAGGAAGATAGGAGTTTCATGTCCCGTAATGTTTGCATTAGTGCTTTAGGCACAGTGAGGCACACTTTCCTGTAGGGTTGGTGGGGTCACTCCCTAAATCCCAGTTCCCAGATACCAGCAAAGGAAGAACTTTGTCATCCAGGATTTCTAAGGGTAAGCAATCTCAGGCCTGCTAATGTTCTCTCTCATCTGCACACTGGCTAATAGGACTTTCTATGAACCTGGTCTACAGTTCCATTGTGGAAAGAGTTATTAGGACTGACCCAGGCACCTCATTACTCCCTGGACCCACAACAGGAGAGGGGTTCCTTGTCTGCTGTCACTCCACTAAGTCAGTTCTAGAATTAGAATTGCTGGGTTGGGAGCTTTTCTCTGCTTCCTAGGCAGGGACACCATCGGATGACTGATCTCTTTCAGGGACCAGCATTTAGGGGAACGAATCCACTGAGGGATTCCCGGGCTTGGGCTGGTGTATCCTGCTGCCTTCCCAGCAGAGGAGCTAGAAATGAGTGAAGTAGGGAGGAGAGCCTCCAGAGTGGCTGGTTGGGGATCACTTGGACCAGGAATCAGAAAAAAGGGGATTTGGTAGGGTTTTTGGAGGAAAGCACTGTTGAATTCTGTCTGTTTCACATTATGTGCAAATTCACTCTCAGTAGCGTCGTGGAATTCAGTAAAACCCCTTGCAAATTGCATGCCTTGACATGTTCCTCAAGGTTACCAAGGTCCTGTTTACAGTGACATGGTTCTGTCACAAAGTCTCTTCTGGTATCTTATCATCTCAGTATGTGTGCCTTTGTGTGCTAAAAATTGGTGGGAGGCAACTCGGGGGCTCACGAGTATATAGATTTAGGGGATGTCTGTGTTCTCACCTTTCCCTCATGTCTCAGTTGTATGTTCTGAATATCTTCCTGGTCCATGAAGTGAGACGGAGCACGGAAACTAAAACTGATTCTGTGTTAAAGATATATAAACAAATTATAATTATACTCTTCTATGAAAATGTTGTTCATGCATCTGGATGTGACTGTTTGTAGTGGCCTGGAGGACTTTAGGATATTGTGGCCATCTGGATCTTGTAACATTTTGGATCCTCCTGGCTTCTCATGTTTGGGGATGGGACTAGAAGAAAAGGTTCCCATTTTTCCCCGTTTCTGTTGATAAAACATCACGCACTTGTGACCCTGTGCTTCATGGAGTGCTGTGTGCTGTGGTGGGTATTTAAGGAGGAGATGGGAAGTTTTTCTCACAAAGAATTGATAGTCTTAAGATGGAACTGTTTCTTTTATCTGCATAGCATTTCTCCAAGGGGTTCTGTTCCCTGAGGGTAGAGAGACATGGAGACTGGAAGTGATCACAGTAAAAATGTAGCAATAAAGTCCTGTGTTCGTGATGCTCTTACATTCATGAGGAAGTGAGTGTGGCCAGAGAGGACGGGTCTGATGACCCAGGCATAGAGTAAACGTTGAGAAATCAAAAGTCCCATGTGAGTTTCTTACCAACTGAGTAGAGATTGCCAGTGCCGTCCGTCTCCCCCACCCTCCTGTACACATTCGTGGGATGTTTCAGGACTCAGTGGCCTTTGAGGATGTGACTGTGCACTTCAGCCTGGAGGAGTGGGCTCTTCTGAATCCATCCCAGAAGAAACTCTACAGAGACGTGATGCAAGAAACCCTCAGGAACCTGGCCTTAGTAGGTAAGCATGACGACATTCTTACTTACGAGTCCATTAGTGAACCAGTATGAGTTGTTCATCGGGCTGTTTCAAGAGGTGAAATGTGGAAAGGGGAATATGTTGGTAAATAAATCAGCCATGGTGACTGTTCATCATGGATCTAGAATCTTAAAAACTTTAATATTCTTTTATAATTTGTGATTTTTTTTCCTGGTGTGCATTTTAGGAGAAAAATGGGAAGACCGTGACAGTAAAAGTCAGTACGAACATCATCAGACAAATCTAAGGTGAGTCCCACTTACATAAGAACATTGTCTCTGGGGGCACCTGGGTGGCTCAGCTGGTTAAGCGGCTGCCTGTGGCTCAGGTCATGATCCCAGGGTCCTGGGATCGAGTCCCGCATTGGGCTCCCTGCTCCTTGGGGAGCCTGCTTCTCCCTCTGCCTCTCTCTCTCTCTGTCTCTCGTGGATCTCATGGATAAATAAATAAAATCTTTAAAAAAGAAAAAAAAAAAAAGAACAGTGTCTTTGGGGGCTCCTGGCTGGCTTAGTCCCTAGAGCGTGCAACTCTTAATCTCAGGGTGGTGAGTTTCAAGCCCCAAGTAGGGTGTGGAGCCTACTTAAAGTAAAAAAAAAAAAAGGGGGGCGCCTGGGTGGCTCAGTGGGTTAAGCCTCTGCCTTTGGCTCAGGTCATGGTCTCAGGGTCCTGGGATTGAGCCCCACATCAGGCTCTCTGCTCAGCAGAGAGCCTGCTTCCCTTCCTCTCTCTCTCTGCCTGCCTCTCTGCCTACTTGTGATCTCTGTCTGTCAAATAACTAAATAAAATCTTTAAAAAAAAAGAAAAAAAAAAGGAAAAAAAAAAGAACAAAAAATAGTTATCCCATGAGAAAAATCTTTGTCATAATATTAAAAAAAAAGAAGCAAAGCAAATCAGATCATTTTCAAGTTTTTATTTTTAGGATATTTTCATCAAATGTTTTTTCTCTAATATGACAGATGTTCAATGTTTGAAAAATAATAACATGGAGAAAGTATTCAGAAACCCCACTTATGGTTATCATTTTTGATCATAGCTGTGATCAGTTCCTTGCAGAATGGTCCACATGTACTCAACTTTCAGACAATCAGAAAGCACAAAAAAATACACTTTTGGGGGGAAAATGGTAAAAATGTTGAAATAACTTAATAAATATGAAATTATGAAGAAGCCATTAATAACATGCTTCTCATTTTTACAGCAGGCCTGTGGTAGAGAGACCCTGTAAAAATAAAGAAGGTAGTCCATGTGAAGAATCCTTCAGCCAGAATCCAAATCATAAGCAGATAAATAAAAGTCCTGCTGGAATAAAGCTACGTAAATGCAGTTTCTGTGGACAAGTCTTCAGGCATCATTCATCCTTTAGCAGGCACATGATCTCTCACACTGGCCACAAACTGTATGAGTATCAGGAATATGAAGAGAAGCCTTATAAATGTAAGGAATGCGGGAAGGCCTTCAAGCATCGCCAGTCCATTCGAGTGCATGTAAGGACGCACACTGGAGAGAAACCGTACAAATGCAAGCATTGTGGGAAGGCCTTTAAGCATTGCCAATCCATCCGAAAGCACGAAAGGATCCACACTGGAGAGAAACCCTATGAATGCAAACAGTGTGGAGAAGCTTTCCGGTATCGCCACAACTTTCAAAAGCACGAGCGAACTCACACTGGAGAGCAGCCCTATAGATGTAAGCATTGTGGGAAAGCCCTCAGTTGTCTCAGTTACTGTCGAATTCATGAAAGAACTCACACCGGAGAGAAACCGTATGAATGTAAGCAGTGTGGGAAAGCCTTCAGTTACGCCAGTTACATTCGGATCCACGAGAGAACTCACACGGGAGAAAAGCCCTATGAATGCAAGAAGTGTGGGAAAGCCTTCAGTTGTCCAAATTATTTCCGAAAACACGAAAAGACTCACACTGGAGAGAAACCCTACGAATGTAAGCAGTGTGGCAAAGGCTTCAGCTGTCCCAGATCCTTTCGAAGTCATGAAAAGAGACACAGGGGCGAGAAGCCCTATGAATGTAAGATATGTGGGAAGACCTACAGTTGTCCCATCTACTTTCGAAATCATGAAAGGAGACACAGCGGGGAAAAATCCTATGAATGTAAAATATGCGGTAAGTCCTTCAGTTGTCCGAAGTATTTTCGAAAACATGAAAGAAGTCACACAGGAGAGGAGCCCTGTGAATGTAATGATTGTGAGAATAGCTTGACTCCTCTCCCTGTATTTCAAAGACACGTGATAAAGCACAGCGGAGATGGACCTTACAAGTGTAAAGAGTGTGGAAAAGTCTTTGATTGTCCCACTAACTTTCGATGTCATGAGAAGATACACAGTGGAGAAAAGCCATATGAATGTAAGGAATGTGGCAAAGCCTTCAGTTCCTCCATGTCCCTTCAAAACCATGAAAGAAGTCACAGTAGGAAAAAACCTCATGAATGTAAGGAATGTGGTAAAGCCTTCAGCTTTCCCTGTTCCCTTCAAAAACATGAGAGAAGTCATACTGGGGAGAAACCCTATGAATGTAAGCAGTGTGGGAAAGCCTTCACTTACCTCAGTTCTATGCAAAAGCACGAAAGGACTCATAGCGGGGAGAAACCCTATGAATGTAAGCAGTGTGGGAAAGCCTTCATTTATCTCAGTTCTATGCAAAAGCATGAGAGAACTCACAGTGGAGAGAAACCCTATGAATGTGAGCAGTGTGGGAAAGCCTTCATCACTCTGTCCAACGTTCAGAGGCACATGATCAAGCACACAGGAGATGGACCCTGTAAGTGTAAGGAGTGTGGCAAAGCCTTCGATTGTCCTAGTTCATTGCGAACCCATGAACGTACTCACACCGGGGAGAAGCCCTATCAGTGTAAACATTGTAGTAAAGCCTTCACTCGCTCTAGTTCTTTACGAAACCATGAAAGAACTCATAATGGAGAGTAGCAATGTGAATGTAAGGAATGTGGAAAATTCTTCATTCTAGTTCTTTCTGAATACACAAAAGAACCCACACTGGAGAGGAACCTTACAAAGAGAAACAATATGGTAGACTCTACTCCCTATGATGTTCATGTACATGGAATTCATACCAGAGAGAAACTCTCAATGTAGGGAAAGTTGTGCAAGCTTTCATTGATCACACAGTCTTATGGAGGACACAACAGAGTGCACACGGGGGAAAAACCATATAAACGTAAAGAATCAGGGAAAGCCATCCATGCATTTCCATGGGAGGCCATGGAAGAACTCATTGGAGAATTCTGTTGAATGTAAACATTGTAGGAAAATTTATTTGCCCCCTCTTCCTAAAAAACCACACGAGAATATACAAGGGATAAATACCTTATAAATGAAAAATAAAGGAAGCTTTTTAATTAAAAAAGATATGTTCAAAGTCATTTGAAAACCTGCATTGTAAAGAAACAGTGTAAGTAATACGGGTAAGCCTGATGCAAATTACTGTACAATAAATGCTCCCCCAGACTCACAACATGAAAGAAATGTTACTAACATTATACATAAGTTGTCTTCTGTGACTTTTTCTTTATTCACCAGTTTTATTGAGAGAAGTTGACCCATTACTGCATAAGCTTAAGACATGTAGCCTGATGGTCTGATTTACGTGTATTGTGAAAAAACTACAGTGGCTCATTCTTCAAGTGATTCTCTGTTTTGTGGATTTCTACTTAGTTTTGCAAGTAAACATTGAGGTGGGAAAATACTGTGGGTTCTCACTAAGCAGTGGTTTCTAAGTTTAATGGGTAGTTTTTTCCCTTTAGTACAATGCTAGTGTTTTTCATTTTGAAGACTGTTTCATCCATGGATGAACTGAAGTCTATTTCTTAACATGCAAGTAGGTTTAATTTTTACATAAATTTTTCTTTTTTTTTTTCCCCTGTATGAATAGGATTGTTGAGTACTGTCATGTTACCCTTAAAAATAAATTGCCAGTTATTTTACCAGCAAAAAAGGGTTTAATAGCAGAGAATTGCAGTTCAGGACAAGGAAGGCTACACAATGCCATAGACAATTCTGGAAAACGAAGAGGAATGCTCATCTATAAAAGAAAGGGGACTTGGAAGGGGCTGTTACAAACAAAATATTGGTTGGAATAAACTGGGACATTCAGAATAATATGGTGGCTTCTCGTTGGCTGAGTCGAGACTGTCATTGGCTGGGCTGTGGCGGGGAGAGGAGGGACCCTTTCTTCCTCCTGCTGGGACACAAAGTAGTTGCTAACATGGTATTTCAAGGTACGTCTCTTCTGTTGAGGGTGCAGTTGTGGAGGAGAGGTAGGGCTGGGAACTTCCACTGCTGAACTCCTGACTCCCATTTCCAGCAGGTTTCCTGATGTTATTTTTTACATTTCTTCTTTTGATCAAGGTTTTTCTTTGAAAGCATTGCCGATTAAGAATCAGGTTTCCCAGGGACATCTGGGTGGCTCTATTGGTTAAGTGTCTGCCTTCGGCTCGGGTCATGATCCCAGGGGCCGGGGATCAAGTCTCTATTGGGCTCTTTGCTCAGCAGGGGGTCTGCTGCTCCCTCTGCTTGTGTGTGCATTCTCTCTCTGATAAATAAAATCTTTTTTTTTTTTTTTTTTATGATTTTATTTGTCAGAGGGAGAACTTTCAGGCATTTCCCCTCTAAAGTCTGTATCTTCTCAAGGTCAGAAGTGGTGGAGACCATCTCAGGAGTGTTGAGCCAGCATCCCCTTATTGGGTACATTGTTTTGTTTTTAAAGATTTTATTTATTTATTTATTTGAGAGAGAGAGAGATCCTGAGCAGCGGGAGGGGCAGAGGGAGAGGAAGGACAAGCAGACTCCCTGCTAAGCAGGGAGCCCAACATGGGGCTCGATTCCAGGACCCTTGGGTTATGACCTGAGCTGAAGGCAGACGCTTAACCGACGGAGCCACCCAGACGCTCCTGGTTACGTTGTTAGGCATCTCGACCGGCAACTAAATAATAACAGAAGTAACATGACAATTCCGGATTGTGTGATGATTCCGAACCAGGACTCTAGATCTGAAAGTAACTAGGATTGACACCTGATCCAACTTAGAGGAAGAAGGTGCCCTCTGTGACTACACACCTGGAGTCCTGTATCTCTCTTGGAAGTCGCTTAAAGCAGCCATGAATGCAGAATAGTGAATATTGCAGAAACACATGGAAGTAACTAACCACCTGCATTTGGGAGGATAGAGTATAGTACAGGTAGAAACATGAGGCAATAGCTGATGAAATTTTTGTAGAACAACAAAGCTTCAAAGACTTCTAAGAGACTTTTTTTTTTTTTTTTTTAAAGATTTTATTTCTTTTTGTTGCGGGGGAGAGAAAGAGACAGAGATGGGAAGAGAGTGGGAAGGAGAGGGAGAACCAGGCTCCCCTCTGAGCAGGGAGTCCAATGCAGGGCTTGATCCCAGGACTCTGGGATCATGACCTGAGCCTAAGGCAGACGCCCAATCAAATGTACCACCCAGGCACCCCTGAAAGATTGTTCTTACCTCAAACTGTTGTTAGTTATATCCAGTAAGGTTGCTAATTCAGAGACCGTGAGCGATAGAAAAAGGTATACTGGCTCAGTCTGGACCGTTTGCGAAAGCTCTCTGGGCCGATGTTGACCCCTTCAATTCTGGGAAATTCTGTACCTTCCATTCACCAGAGGGGGTGTGGGTCCAGTCAGGGTTTGGTCCTTTGAGATGTATAATGAGTATTCAAGAGTCTGTTCCGTGAAGTTTTGGCAACCCAAGAGTTGGTTCACAGTTCCTGAAAAGGGCCTTCTCAATGAGGTTGAAGAGTCTGGAGTTGTCTTTTCCAACACACAAAATCTCCACGTTGTAAGGTGTAATGCTTAAGGTGGTAGTCTCAGAAGCGCAGCGTAAAAAGATTGTTCTACCAAAGCATGGTTATTTGTAATAGAAGCAATTAGCTTTTGCACAATTGAAGTATATTTCTTTTTTTTTTTTTTTAAAGATTTTTATTTATTTATTTGACAGAGAGAGATCACAAGTAGGCAGAGAGGCAGGCAGAGAGAGAGGAAGGGAAGCAGGCTTCCTGCTGAGCAGCAAGCCCGATGCGGGACTCGATCCTAGGACCCTGGGATCATGACCTGAGCCGAAGGCAGCGGCTTAACCCACTGAGCCACCCAGGCGCCCTGAAGTATATTTCTTTTTATTAACCGTGGGTCACAGGAGGCAGGGGCTGGCTAGTGCATCGGCTGGCCTGTGACTGTGTCGAAGGGTGAGAATCTGAGTTCCAAAGGGTGGATCTAAGATTTAGAAGGACTAACAGCAGTGTTAGCACAAGGTGTTTTGGAAGGTCTCTACAGATTTGTCTCTGCAGATTTTGCCTATTTAGTCTTAATAGTTAGTTAATAGTGTGGTCGACTCTCCCTCAGGTTTGAGGACCATAAGCATCATGACCTTTGTAAAACCAGACAACCCACACAGACTTGTGGAAGCACCTGACTGGGACAATTCGTTCCCTGATTGCTGTAAAGTTCCAAGAGGGGTTCCCGAGGTAGGGATAATCATCTCTAACAGAATTGTAGTGACAGTGAAAGGATTGGCCTTTCTACGGGGGAGAACTTCAGACCAGTGAGAACATATACAAGCCGTACCCAAAGCAGATTCCTACCTGTTACAGGAAAGTGTTGAGATCGGTTTCCCTGCATTATACATGGAATGGTATGGATAAGCGAGGTAGGCACTTTCTGTGGCCTTATTAATATTTCTCCACCAAAATTCATCCATGATTGTTACCATTTCATTAGTAGACCAATAATTTAATGCATGTGTAGTGGTAAGCAGTGGAGATTTATTTTAAGATCTTTTTTGACAGCACAAGTAGGCAGGGCGGCAGGGAGGGGGAGAAGTGGGCTCCCCCCTGAGCAGGAGCCCCCCCCCCCCCCCCCCCCCCCCAATGCAGGGCTTCATCCTGGAATCCTCAGATGCTTGGCGGACTGAGCCACCCAGGTGCCCCAGTAGTGGAGATCATAGAAGTTCTGGGAGGACTGAGTTGTTATTTGGCTCACACCAGAGTTCTTTTAATCAAACCCACAATTATTAAATATCTAATATCTTTTATTTCCTTTTATTTCCATGTTGGGCGTCTCTCTTTTCTGATTATCATTTGGGAGACCATCCCTTCAGAACATGACAGAGGTTTAGCTATTGATTTCATCGAGTGTCTTTTTTTTTTTTTTTTTTTGCTGGAGCTGTCAGCCAGGTGGTTTCCTTTGGCCTGCAGGGAACTGGATCTGGAATGCTGGGAAACATGAATGATAGCCAGAGCAGCTGGCTAATGGGTGACAGCTAATAAATTTTGGGCCTATGGGACAGTTTTAATTTTGCTTTTTATTTTTTTAAGATTTTATTTATTTATTTGACAGAGATCACAAGGGGCAGCTGGGTGGCTCAGTTGTTTAAGCCTCTGCCTTCAGCTCAGGTCGTGATCTCAGGGTCCTGGGATCGAACCCCGCATCTGCTCAGCAGGGAGCCAGCTTACCCCCCCCCTCCACCTGCCTCTCTGCCTGCTTTGATCTCTATCAAATAAATAAATAAAATCTTAAAAAAAATTAGCTTCCAGTGGGTAGGGCTATGAGGGAGTTAGAGCAGTGGGGGGCTGAGAGGTACGGGTTATTGCTTGGAGGTCCTATACAAACCCTCATCTTCACCCTTTGGCTTTATGCACAGATAAATTAGGACTGTTACAGGAACTAGTGCAGGGTTTCATGAGGCCCTGGCCCTGTGATTGTTTTGGCTTGATACCTTGAAGGGCTTCTTTATTTATAGGGTATTGATTAATACTGGGGAGAGATTTCTAGGGATCTGTCTGGATCTTGGTGGTAGGTGGACTGTGGGTTCTACCGGTTATTTGAAGCAGTGCCCGTAAAAACAACCGTGGCCCTTCCTATAGGGCCAAGTGATCAGCGTCTCCAGACCCAGCTGGTGTCTTCAGAGAGGGAGCAAA